TAAAAAAAGAACGGAGGAAGTATTTCTTTTAATTTTTAAAAAATTAAAAAAAATATCCTCCTACTACTACTTGTTAAGTTTCCACGTAAAATTAGCAAGCGGTACCCACTCAATTAGGAGAGAGAAAGAGAGATTAACAACGCAACATAACCCCAGTACTACTCTCACTCAAATACTCAAACTTTTTTTTACACCACCACCAAAAACAAAAACAACACTACATCATTTCTTAATTCTCTTTCTATTTCTGTTTTTTAAAATTTCAAATTAACAATTTCCATGATTGAATCGGAATTCTTCATCAATGGCGGAAATTTGTTGCGGAGTTGTATTAGGTGAAGGAGATGAGAGAATATTTGCCGTGCCTTTCTCATTGATCATGAAATAGTATATAATACAAGCGTAAGCTAGGTTAGGGTTAAGGCTAAACTACTAATTTACAAACTAATTACATACTAGATTATTTACATAATCTAACACTCCCCCGCAGTCAAAGCGGGAGGACCATGAACGCTTAGACTGTCCCGAAAATCATCAAATAAAACCTTAGGCAGACCTTTGGTGAAGATATCTGCAATCTGGTATCGGGAAGGCACATGTAGGACACGTACTTCGCCCCTTTGAACTTTCTCACGAACAAAGTGAATGTCCATCTCAATGTGTTTAGTGCGCTGATGCTGAACCGAATTACTAAAGAGATAAATCGCACTAACATTGTCACAATAAACCAATGTTGCTTCCGAAATAGGAAGAAATAGCTCGAGCAACAAATTGCGAATCCAGCAGTATTCTGAGACCACATTGGCAACCCCTCTGTACTCTGCTTCACAACTAGACTTAGACAAAGTGGGTTGGCGTTTTGAAGACCAAGAAATCAGATTGTCACCAAGGTATACACAATACCCCGATGTGGAACGACGAGTATCCGGACACCCGCCCCAATCTGCATCCGTGTATGACACAAGGGTAGAAATAGGAGATTTATGCAGTTGTAAACCAAAATCTGTCGTACCCTTAATGTATCGTAGAATGCGTTTCAACGCATTCATGTGCTCAACACGGGGCGAGTGCATAAATAAGCAAACCTGTTGAACTGCATAAGAGATATCTGGTCGGGTGAATGTCAAGTACTGCAAAGCACCACAGAGGCGCCGATAAGAAGTAGGATCGTCATACAGAGCACCCTCCTGAGTACTCATTTTGCCTTTGGTGTCAACAGGAGTAGCTGAAGGCTTGCAATTTGCCATTCCTGCTTTTTCCAAAATTTCCTGCGCATACTTCTTTTGAGATAAAAATAGACCACTTTTACCTCTAGTAACAGCAATACCCAATAAATAACTCAGAGGACCCAAATCCTTCATTGCAAATTCAGAGCTGAGCCGAGAAATAATATGTCGGCGGAGAGATTCCGATGAAGCAGTAAGCACAATATCATCAACATATTGAAGTAGATAAGCAGTATCATTACCATGGCGATAGATGAACAAAGAGGTATCAGATTTGCTATTAGCAAAGCCAATAGTAGCCACAAAATCTGCAAACCGTTTGTACCACGCACGGGGTGCCTGTTTGAGACCATAAAGTGACTTGTCTAATAAGCAGACATGATCAGGTTTATTAGGATCTTTGAATCCCATAGGTTGATACATGTAAACCGTTTCATTCAAATTACCATGTAAGAAAGCATTTTTGACGTCCAATTGATGAATTTGCCAAGACTTAGCCAAAGCAATGCTAAGAACCACCCGAATAGTAGCCGGTTTAACAACCGGGCTAAAAGTCTCATCACAATCAATGCCTTCCCTTTGAGTTTTACCATCACCAACAAGGCGAGCCTTATGCCTCTCAAAAGACCCATCAGACTTAGTCTTATGCCGAAAAATCCACAATGACCGAATTATGTTCACATTCGGTGGTCGCGGAACCAATTTCCAAGTACCATTTTCAATAAGAGCATCATATTCTTCCTGCATAGCAATTTTCCAATTATGGTCACGAAGAGCGGTAACCGGGTTCTTTGGAATGGGTGATATGGAGGTGGTAGTATGATGTGTGTGGTCTTGGTATTTGGGATTTGGTTTCACAATTCCATGCTTGCTACGAGTAGCCATGGAGTGCGTGGGCATTGGGGATGGTGCGGGAACATGAGTAGGAGGGGAAAGATGCGGCTGTGATGATGGGGAAGAGGTGGCAGCAAGTTGTCGTGGTGACACAAGGGTGGCAGCAAGAGGAGAAGGGGGTGATAAGGGTGAGGCAGCAGTGGGAGAACATGGTGATGAGGGTTCGTGCTGCTGCTGCACTACCTCGCTCACCGCGCTGTGTGGGGCAGGGGGCTGTGCGGGCTGAGCAGACGCAACAGCTTGTTGTACCCTCCCCACTCCAGCGCCTGCTGGATCCCGTGTGGGTGAGGTAGCAGCAGGCTGCTCCTGATGCTGCCGCAAGATAGGGAGAGGAAGGGGACCTAAGGCATCACCCAAAAAATCATAAGTATGTTCATTTGGGTTATGAATTTTAGAAAATGGGAAAACCGACTCATCAAACCAAACATGCCTAGCTATTATAATTTTACGACTCGAGATATCAAAACACTTGTAGCCCCTATGATTAGACGGATAACCAATAAAAACACAAGGAGTAGAACGAGATTGAAGCTTGTGAATTTTAGTGGAAGGAAATAGAGGGTAACAAAGACAACCAAACACCCTAAGATGAGAATAAGCGGGATGTTTTTGATATAGAATTTGAGTTGGAGATTTATAGCCTAGGAGTTTGGTAGGAATGATGTTATGAAGGTATGTGGCAATTTCTAAAGCATGATGCCAAAAGGTAGGAGGCATGGAGGCATGACTAAGAAGAGTACGAACAACATTGTTGATCGTTTTGATTTTTCTTTCGGCTTTGCCATTTTGAGGAGAAGAATATGGACAAGAGAAGCGAAAGGTCATGCCATGTTGTTCACAAAATTTTTGAAATGGAGTGTTGGTAAATTCCGTGCCATTGTCACATTGAAAAGCTTTTATTTCTTTTTCAAATTGAGTCTTAATATATGTTCGTACACGAAGAAACAAGTTGTGAACTTGGGATTTGGATGAGATAGGAAAAGTCCAAAGAAAATTCGTGTAATTGTCAAGGAATAGAACATAAAATTTGTGACCAAGAGAGCTAACAATGGGAAAAGTCCATAAATCACTGTGAACAATATCAAAGGGCATAGTAGTAAAAGACATAGAATCATAAAATGGTAATTTCATTAATTTTCCCAAAAAACAAGAATGACAAACGTGATTTGTAGCCTTATTACAATTTATGAGTTTACTACTACGTAAAGAGCTAAGAATTGCATTTCCCGGATGACCTAAACGGGAATGCCACACACTAGGAGAAACAACTGCAAAAGCTGACGGAATAGAATTGGAAATGACTTGACGATCATTGAAGAAGGGATAAAGATCGCCATGGCTATTACATCTCACTATTTTGCTCCCCGTCTGCAAATCCTTCACAGAAAACCCAAACGGATCAAATTCAATTGACACATGATTATCAATAGTGAATTTTCTAACAGAAATTAGATTTTTGACAAGTTTAGGCACGTGTAGGACATTTTTGAGTTGAAGTGTGTTTCGGTTTAAGGATTTGTGACCATAACCATGAATTGGAACTTTGCTACCATCACCAACAATAATATTATTATTATTATTTTTGCTCAAATGAAAATATGACGACAAGTTACCTTGAGAGTTTGTCATATGTGAAGTAGCACCGGTATCCATGTAGTAATTCGGGTCGGCAAGAGACATTGTATGCATAGCTTGCTCGATGTTGGTTGGCACATATCCCGAGGAAGAAGGAGGAGGAGAAGACATGAAATATGCATGTTGTGGACGAGCACCGAGAAGACCGGGCTGTTGTGATTGAGGCCTCCCACCCCACTGCATTGGGCCTTGACCCTGTGAAGGGTACGGACATGGGGGAGTGGCCCATGGTGGCTGAGACCAATAAGCCCAAGGGGGGGGGGGGATACATCCACCCCTGCTGCCCCGAGTGAGAATGCTGCGCTGAGGGCTGAGCTTGCGGTGCTGACTGCTGGGACTGGTTGTGCCGGCCACCGGAGTCGGCGCTGCTCTTCTTACCACCCTTCCCTTTAATTTTTCGACCACCGCGAGCAGGTGGCGCACATCCACGAGCAGAGTCAGTCGCGGAAATACCCCTCCCCTGTTGCGAAAACGACGCTGGTTGCGAGGTTTGAGAGAGGAGAGCTTCCTCACCAGAATCTGGAATATCAGATGCATTGCTCTGCTCTTCCAATTCAAGCATGGAGCGCAATGCCTCAAAGGAAGGCAGCGGATCGAGGTGTCGAACAGAGGATCGAAAGGATTTGTAGTCATCGGTGAGACCCTTCAATAATTGCAGAGCCATTCGATGATCAGAGACCGTATCTCCAACGTTCCTCAGATTATCCGCAAGGGTTTTCAGATGTGAACAGTACGGTTTAACACCATCAAATTGTTCAAGCTTGGTGTTTGTGAATTGTGCATCAAGGGTCATAGCACGAGCAGCCTTGTTATTTAGAAAGAAATTCTCCAAACGTTTCCAAGCGTCGACCGCTTTGTCATCGGGGTCGGCAATGGTGTTGAGCAAATCAATGGATATTGTCCCATATATCCATTGACGGACAAGGTCATCAAGACGTTGCGAGAAAGCCAATTCAGCAGCAGAAGGTTCGGGTTTCTTAGCAGAGGGATCAACCAGTGGAGGAATGATAATATCAATTACCATATTTGCGCGGCAGTGAAGTTGAAAGAGAGTTCTCCAAAGGTTGTATTGAGTGCCCTTGTAATCCAGAGTAACCGGAATACATGTCTTGATGTTGCTAACAAGTGTGGCCGGATGTAGCTTGCTAGAATCAGCCATTAGAGAAGAAAAGAAGAAGATTAGATGAGCGGAAGAGAGGTAGGGTTTTGGATTGAAAAACCTAGACTCGTGATACCATGAGAGAATATTTGCCGTGCCTTTCTCATTGATCATGAAACAATATATAATACAAGCGTAAGCTAGGTTAGGGTTAAGGCTAAACTAGTAATTTACAAACTAATTACATACTAGATTATTTACATAATCTAACAGGAGAGAATACTCACAATCCAGTACTTTCAACCGTATGTGAATCCACCTCTTCTCGAGCTGCTAGAAGACGTAGGATGGAAATCAGACGGTTTAAATTCATCGATGGAGTGTCCAACAGTAATAATCCTGTAACAGACGACGATGATTCTGATATTATCGACGGAACTAAGCGTCAAAGGATAGATTTCGCGTCGTCTTCGTTTTCCAGAGAATGCACTTCTAACGCTGTTGAAACTAGCGTCGTTTCTGATGATCGTGTTAGAGATATAATTAGTTCTAGTACTGATAATACTACTAATAATAATAAATTGTCGGAGGAAGAAGATGAAACTTCGACGACGTCGTTTTATGAATCTTCCATTTATAATATTCAGAATTTAGTTCCGAAATTTGGCGTCGCTTCTGTTTGTGGAAGGCGTCGAGATATGGAAGATGCTATTGCTGTTCATCCTTCGTTTTTCCGATCAGAAAATTGTTCCGATTCCGATATCTCCTCCTCGGAATTGCATTACTTCGGCGTTTACGACGGCCATGGCTGCTCTCACGTACGTCACCTTACTTTCTCTTTCACAATAATTATTAAAATTACAAAAATAATAATGTTAATTGAATTGACAGGTGGCGATGAGGTGTAGAGAGAGACTGCACGAGCTAGTGAAGGAGGAGTTAGTGGCGGTACCAGAATGGAAGTTAGCAATGGAGAGAAGTTTCAGTAGAATGGATAAAGAAGCGATCGCGTGGAATAAAGGAGTAATCGGTAATTGTAGGTGTGAATTACAGACGCCTGAATGCGACGCCGTCGGATCCACCGCAGTCGTCGCCATTGTTACGCCGGATAAAATTATCGTCGCTAATTGTGGTGATTCTCGCGCCGTTCTTTGCCGTAACGGCGAACCCTTCCCTCTTTCCGACGACCACAAGGTCCGTCACTTTCATCAATTACTGTTTTTTTCTTTTTTGGTGGTTACGTTGTTTCAGTTTAAAAAAAATAAAAGGAAAAAGAATTAACGTGATATTGTAAATAATTTTAACAGCCGGACCGACCGGATGAGTTGAACCGGATCGAAGAAGCCGGCGGTCGGGTGATATATTGGGATGGAGCTCGGGTTCTTGGGGTGCTCGCCATGTCTAGAGCCATTGGTGAGTTTTTTTTATTTTTGTTGCACCTTTTTTTATAAATTATTTTATTTTTTTTTTGCCAAAAAATGAAAATTATAGGTGTAAATAATTTGAAATTGAGTGAAATACTGAAAAATGGAGCAGAGTTTTTTAGCTCACGTGATACATGATCGAGGATCAGAGAGGCAATCAAAAGTTTTCCTCGTGAATTTGGAAGGGGAGGGGCCTGGGGGATTTTGCTAATTTGCTAGTATCATCCCTATAACCCGTTTCTAGTTCCGGTTGATGTATTTCTTTTGTTCGGAAATAATAGTCACATATACGTTCTTATCAATTCTTATACATAGTTAGGGATCTCTAATGTTTATTTTCATTAGTACTTTTTAAACAAAGAAAAAAAAAATGGTTCTTGTACATAGTATAGTAAATCTATTGCGATATGATTTAGATATGATTTCCCTATAATGCCAAGGTTTAAATCGGATTACACAAAGTATAAAGTAGATCAATACCAAAGAAAGAAGTACACGAGTGTGTGAGAGTGGTTTTATTATAATAATACTCCGTATTGGATATTTTAGTGTAATTTTTTTAGTGGCCCTAAAAATGATAAGGCATGAAAACTCTGCCAAAGTAATAATAATTCTATTTAAAATATCCAATATATAATACAGAGTATAATTATTATATTTAATTTTCTATTTCCGGAAAGTACAAGTTTTATTTTAATACTCCTTATGACATACAGTATGTTATTAATTTTAACTACTTCTAGGTTAGAAGTTAAAAATGAAAATAATCTATTATGATTGATTAATTTTATTGGAATTCCCGTCAAGAAAAAAAAAACGGAGTACTTAGTATTAGATTGATTGATGTCCTCCGGAATAAGGTTATACTTCGTAACTTGTTAGGAATAATATTCACTTAAAATAAATTTGGAGCGTTGAATTGTTCATGTACCACATTGTTGATTTTGTTTGCTAAGAATGCAGTACATTTGTGTTGTAGGGGATAACTATTTGAAGCCATACGTGAGCTGTGAGCCAGAGGTAACAATAATGGACCGAACAGTAGATGATGACTGTCTGATATTAGCAAGTGATGGGCTGTGGGATGTAGTGTCAAACGACACCGCGTGTGGTGTGGCAAGAATGTGCTTAAGAGGCAAGGTGCCACCAGCGACATTAACCCCGGATGTTGAACAGATCACTGGTGTTGGTGAAGCAATGGCGGATAAAGCATGTACGGATGCTTCAATGCTGCTTACGAAGTTGGCTCTAGCAAGGCACAGCACCGATAATGTAAGTGTTGTCGTGATTGATCTAAGGAAGGATGCCTAGTAACAACGTAACGGGTGTCCTCCAGCGAAAACAAATCATCATACTATTAGGTAGCTAGAAGAAAATGAAAATGGAAGGAAATGGAAGAGGGTTAAAAAATGGGATTTGTTAAACATCGTCCATAAATCTCTACATAAAGCCCACAATTATTTTTACTTTGACTCTTTTGCCCTTTTTTTAATTTTTACCGAAACCGTAATTCCCTCTCACGAAGAATGTGGAGCTGGAGTGGATTGCCGAGGGACACCGGAGAGCCATCATCGTCGCCGGAAAGCGAGATAATCCGGGGAAAAAATTACGAAAAGTAGGGGTGGCGTCTGGTCAGGACGCCGCCACCATTGCGGTGGCATCTGGCCGGGACGCCGCAACCGTGGCTAGGCGTCCAGGTCAAACGCCAGCCCCCTGGTTCCGGCGGCCGGAGCAGACGCCACCACCAGGGGCTGGGCGTCCTGGCCAGGCGCCCCACCACTTCTTGTTTTTTTTTATTTTTTTTTTTTTAAAAAAAATCCTGCCACCGTGAGCCGTCCTTCCCTCCGCCGCTGTGGCCGCCAAGTCTTTACCTTGCCGCCTCGACATTGTCGTATTTTCGGGTGATTAGAGTGTGAGTATGGGTTAGATTTTTTTATTTTAGGTTTAGGGCAATAAGGTAAATTCAATATAGATTTGTGGGCTTTATGTGGAGATTTGCGGGCGATGTTTAGCAATCCACTAAAAAATCCCCTCCTTTTTTTTCAAGGAATTACTTTATTTGTTTTTTTTTTTGAGATTTGGTTAAGTAGCTTTATTCTCCTTTTCTCTCACAAATGCCCTTAATTTAGTGGTCGATTTTATTTGTTTAAGGTTTTTCGAGAGAGAAAAGAGAGCAATTTTAAAAAAAAAAAAAAAGAAGAAGAAGTGATGGAGATGTAAGAATTAAAGAGGGTTAGGCGGGAGGGTCTCATATTGTAAGGGGAAAAAAATGAATGAATGAATGAAATACCTCCAAATATTTGAACCAACTTTATTTTATTTTCCATTTAGTTGATTTAAATTATTACAACTAGTAATGGTTGTGGATGCAAATTTAAACTATATAAATATTACGAGAGTGCACGCGTCAAAAAAGCTTTGTAGTTTGTATGGAAATCATACTTTTATTATACTCCCTCCATCTTTGATTATGGTTACATACATATGTATATATGGCTATGCTAATTATTTAGAGTCCATTTGAAACATCTTTGGTATTGATACGCGAGTTATCTTATATTAACGACGTTAAGAGTGAGAAAATAACCATTTTGTAAGCTCAATCAATGAGTTATTGCTTGTATTGTTCATACTGATCAATATTTGAGAGGAAGAGTTTTCAAATACAACGTTTCTTTTCTTCATTGTTGGAGTTTCGGAAAAAGTCTAACATTTCGTTACTTGTATTCTTTTTTGTTTTAATAAACGATAAGATATGAGGATTTCTCTTACACAGTCACCGTATCACAAGAATGAGGATCAAACCCCAAACATTGGGGGAGGGGGGAGATGGAGGGACTAACCAAGTAATTGTCCCTTTATCTCTTATGTCCTCGTTTGGTTTCGTATTACTCCGTATTGTATTAGCATAGAAGTATTATTATGGGTTTGGTGGGGCTGTAATGCCTGAATAGTATGTCTCCAGGTGGCAAACAAGCTTAAGGAAACTACCAAACTTTGCTACACGCGTCACTTGATAGTAGCAATTATATTGAGTGATTTAAAACATCTTAATCATAGTTGATTAATTGTCTGCTTAGGCCTATAATCATAGGACTAAAGATATATTGTTTAATTAATTATGTAATTGAATACCTACCATAGCATAATATTACGAGTAAAATAATTAGTCACATCATCAACTTCTGGTAGTATTCCTCTTCTAAAATAATATCCCTAGCTATTATAGTTATGCTTTAATTTGAAATGATTTCCTAACCACCAATTTAAGATCACGAATATATAACTATATCTACTGTTTATAGATTTCCTGCATTTCAAGTAAATTAATTTAAATAATCCTCTATTTTTAGATTTATATTAATTTTTACGTAGTATATTTTTTTGATATTGTACTGTTCTAATCTGGAGTTTCAATTCTCCAACATAGGCTTCTATTATGAGCCTATGAGAGTGTGTAAGCCTCTTTCTTAATTATTTGAGTTGAAAGATTGAAGGGTTTATCATGATCTATAATAGTAAAGGAGATAATCAAGTGGAGTATTTTTTAGTGCGATCCCTTCATAATTAATTTCAATATCAAAATTCATCAACTTTAACTATTATAGGAACCATTCTGACATTCTCTAAAACTTAGGACCGACCTGTTTCAATTTACTAAAAACAGCTGAACTGAATAGAGCTTAACTAAACTGAAATAAAATAAAACTGAACAGAACAGGTCCTAACTCTAATCAATTCTGGATCACATCAAATTATATTAAAAGTATTCATAGCTTAACTTTTAATTTTTGTTTAGACTATATATCTATATTTTGCATATTATCTTAGCATACAATCAAAGCTTATTTAAATTAGTATATTAGATCAGGCTAAAGAATACATATCAAACTTTATTGAATTTGGTTAGAACGAACACCTTATTCCATGTGAAGAAAATCAAACAAATCTTTTACTTTTTTTTTCGTTCTCCCACTATCACACTTTGACTTATTCATTAGACTTTCACATGCTTAACTTTAAACAAAAATTATAACGAGTTCTTGTATTATATTCTCAAACAAATCCCGATCATAAAGTTTTTTTTTTTTTTAATTCGTTTCACATGCTTAAATCTTATTCTTTAAAAAAACATTAAAAAATTATGTAAGAAAAATATAATGATCAGGTTCTTGTGTTATATTCTCAAACAAATCCCAAACATTAAGTTTTTTCAATCTGTTACCCACTACTCCACTAGTCTTTCACATGCTTAGGCATGTTCACATTTACTTAATTTCAGTTCAGTTAAGTTCAGCTCCAATCAGTTCAGTTCAATAAATGTGAACAAGCTCTTAATTACCTCTATTAAAAAAAATAATGTAAGAATTGAAATGTAGAATCATCCAGTTCTTGTGTTACATTCTCAAACAAATACGTATTAATCATAAAGTTTTTTAAATTTGTTAAACGCGTTATCCTAAAATTTAATATTAGTTGCTATACTTCAAAAAAAAAAAAAAAAAAAAAAAAAAAAGAGAATATGGAGTATTTTGTACTCCGTACAGTATATGTAATTTCATACAGAATGTGAATACGTAATACAAGTAAAATGCGCATGTAGGTCTTCGCTTTCTTTTATTTTGGAGCTAGCACGTACAGTTGCACAAATGTTGTTTATGAATCTAATTTGCCTAAGCTAGTTCATACTTTAAGAAAATAATACATAAATTGCGACATTTATTATTTTTGAGGAGGAAGAAGAAAGAATTATTACGTATGGTGTAAATGTCAATTCAAAGATCTATAATGGGCCCTTAAAATTTTGAATAATAAGGGTGAAAAATGAAAAGTATATATCAATTGCAGAAAATAGAACTGATTTTCATATGGTGGGTAAGATGTATGTAGCCTTAATTAGAAAGTCTAGACCATAATCATTTGCTTAATCAAGCTTCTAAGAATTATTTGGCTAATAGACCCTTTTAGCTTACCAAAATTCTAATCAAAACAAAAACTTCTACCATTGGACCATACATTGAAACTTGAAAGCTTCAAAATTTTTGGAAAGAGAAATTGAGACATAGGAAATTTTTTGATGACTTTTGTTAGGTATGGTTGTTTACGAATGTAACTAATAATAATTTATATGAAGACGTTAAGAGTGCATTTTATTACCTGATATTTTTTTTACAGGTACCTGATGTAGTGATGTGTTTTTGTCTAAATGAATTTATTAGAGCTAATTTGAACGTATCTAAACATATTAGAACTTACGTTAATTAGTAATTACATAATAAACTTAGGTAACTTTTATTAACCATTATTGATATTTGAACTTATTTTGGATAGTTGAACAAAGAAGTTGATCTATTCATCTACTAGTAATATACTTCATATAATCATTGATAAAGTTTGAAATTATATATGCTTTCAAAAAAGAAGTTTGAAACTATATGTAAGATTTTGGGTTGAATTGCAAAATGATTGAAACCAATACATTTCATGCGGCCCATGATATACTCGTAGATTGTTGGGCTCAGTCCAATAAAATAAAGCACCATTTTGGCTTTCAAGAAATAAAAAAATTACTCATCCCTTAGAAAAAAAGAGAAAAAAAAAAAAAAAAAGAGTGAAAGATTCCGGCCAAATTCCATTGAAGCGCACCCAACATTCTCCATTGAAGCGCCACTCAACTTTCTCCATTAAAGCAGTTTCTGAGGTAAAATTTTAATTCTTTTTTTCATCATCTAGTTTCAATTTCTCAAAAAAATTGAGTACCTAACAATTGAGGGCCTATTTGTATAATTAACTCGTAAAAATAATTGAAAGCTGTTTTTTCGAATTTGGTTGATTTTAGTTAGTTTTAGTATGTGGGTTTGAAACAATTAAGTTCATTGTTAATAGTTCAGTTCTTTTTAGTAGGGTTTCTGGATAATATGCTGGCAATGCTGCTATTTGAGTGAAAAATTGTTAATTTCCCCAATTTTCTCAGGTTAAGGATTGTTGACGAAAATGGTCTCATGGGCATCTCAAATTTACGGTATTGCCACTTATAGTGGTAGCTCTTACTCGTGGAATCAAATTTCAGGGTCTAAGATTATGTTGTTTAGCGAAAAGATGAAGCCTAATCCATTTAAGGCAACCTTTGGACTACCAAATTCATCAGTATCTTCAATGGGGAAGAAATTTAGTTTCAATTCCAATATGATTATTGATAATGGTAGAAATGGTCACTTTGGTTTAGTAGATGATAAGGTATATGGGTTTGATTTTTCGATGATGGGTTCAAAGAAAGCTGGTGGGTTGCATCCATTTGTGGTTACTTGCTTAGCTAATGGAGAGATGAGTGCAGGTATATTGTCTTTACAAGCTTTATTGTGATTATCTTAGCTGTATTATGTAATTAAACTGACTTTTGTCATGTATTTGGGAAGTGGATGTATTTGCTTTTAAAATTAGGATTAAATTGTTATAATTGGTATCACTTGCGAGATTGGTTGATGGGTGGAAGGTCGAGTCTTTTGTTCTTTTTCTTCACACTGTAAGAGGACAAAGAAATGGCGACCTAATTAGTGAAAGTTAAATTTTAGGAAGCATTCAGTTACTCATAATCGTCTTGTGCTAATGGCGATTGTGCTGTTTTTAAGGGCTATCGATGCTGTTGTAGTGGTTAGTGTTTTGTTTTGTTCAAGGTTCAACATTGGTTGTGCTTAATATTTTGCTTTGTAGAGTTCTGTTGACATTAGGAATGTGAAGAGGTATGGATATGTTCTATATTTATCATTGTTATTGCTTTTAGTGAAGTATGGAATGTTTTGTATGCATTTTTTCTATCTTAATGTAAGAGTTTGTGATTTAATTCTATCAATATAATTCATGCATGGATGTTTTTTGCAATCTTATTGAGCTAATCTTCCATTGTTATGTGTTACTACTACTTATATTGTTATTTTGTATAGATGTGCATTAATATTGAGCTTATCTTCCACTATTATTACTGCATATATTGTCTCCTGCTGATTTTTTAATTGGCATTGTAGAGGAGAAGGTGAATGTGCTGGTAATTGGAGGAGGTGGAAGAGAGCATGCACTTTGCCATGCCTTGCAACGATCGCCATCATGTAGCGCGGTCTTTTGTACACCTGGGAACATTGGGATTTCGAAATCAGGGGATGCTATTTGCCTTTCAGATGTTGACTCCTCCAACAGTTCAGCTGTCATCTCTTTCTGCCAAAAACAGGCAATTGGATTAGTTGTGGTGGGACCAGAGGCACCCCTTGTTTCTGGCCTTGCAAATGACCTTGTCAAAGCTGGTATCCCAACCTTTGGCCCTTCATCTGAGGCTGCTGCATTAGAGGGTTCCAAGGATTTCATGAAGAGCTTGTGCTACAAATACAACATTCCCACTGCCAAGGTCAGTCATGTTTTTCTTTCAAACTCACTGTGATATTCTATGAACTTTGCTGGTCTGATCTGGGTCGATGAGTTGATAGTTAACTCCTTTTTTTTTAGTCTTGATAAAAGTTCTTATCATATACTTTGTATGAATTAGTAAATCCATCAGTATGAGATGACAATGCTAGAAATTACCCATTCTAGGACAATGTAGTGTCATGGACTTTTGGTCATGTATGAGACCTTTGCACTAGTGTTTCATGAACAATGAAATCTTAAAATGAATGTTTCTTATGAATGAGCGCTTCAGTTGCTTACTGAAAATAACAATTTTTGACTTTTTCGTGATAAATTCGTTTTTCCAAACTGCGAGGTCAGTAATGGGTGCTAGGCATAAATTGTCATGTCTCAGAGAGTTAAGGTCAAAGAAGTATAGTAGGCTTTATATTGATAAGTTAGTGCTCTTAAGCTATAATAAATTGTTATTTTCTTTTTATTTTGCAGGGGTTTATCTGTGTGTGATTTGTATTTTTCTTAGTCATATATTTTTGGATGACTTGCTGCAGTACCAAACATTTGCCGATCCAACTGCTGCCAAACAATATATCAAAGAGCAAGGAGCACCTATTGTCATTAAGGCTGATGGGTTAGCTGCTGGAAAAGGAGTTATTGTAGCTATGTCGCTGGACGAGGCTTACGAAGCTGTCGATTCGATGCTTGTAAATGGCATTTTTGGTTCTGCAGGTAATCGTGTCATCGTTGAGGAGTTTCTGGAAGGAGAAGAAGCATCCTTTTTCGCAGTGGTGGATGGTGAGAATGCTATTCCCCTAGAGTCTGCTCAAGACCATAAACGTGTTGGAAATGGTGATACAGGGCCTAACACAGGTGGAATGGGTGCATACTCGCCTGCACCTGTGTTGACAAAAGAACTTCAGGCTTTGGTGATGGATTCTATAGTTCTTCCCACTGTCAAAGGGATGGCAGCAGAAGGTTGCAAGTTTGTTGGGGTCTTGTATGCTGGGCTTATGATTGAAAAGAAATCTGGACTTCCTAAGCTTATTGAGTATAATGTCCGGTTTGGAGACCCTGAATGCCAGGTGAATACTCTATCAATTCGTTTCTCAATTTGTTATATTTCTGGTATCCATTTTACGTGCATTAACAACTATTCTTAGATTACGGTTCCTTAATACTTGAAAATGATCTCCTTGGGGCTTTGGGTTTGGCTGAATAATTTGTCAACATGAAAGTTTTTCCATAGCTGCAAATTGACCCAACAGACTAATAGTCTTCAAAAAAGTTACGGTGCCTATGTCCATATGAACAGTAGTAATTCTTAAACTACTCAATCACTTGATGTGTGTAGTGATGGGAATATTTTGCATGGAAATATTCTTATTATGAAAGATGGGGCTGTTCTTTACTCTTTGGAAAATTGAAGTTTGTAACACTTATTAAATACAATGCCAATTAGTCTCTCACATAACTGAAGTTTGTAACACAATTTTAAAAAATGCCATCTATATAAAAACAATGCCAAGTAGTCTTTCAAAGCTGAAGTTTGTAACCTTTCTCTACAAATTCCATGTATATATGACAGGTTTTGATGATGCGTTTGGAGTCGGATCTGGCACAAGTTCTTCTTGCTGCTTGTAGAGGTAAGCTAACAGGAGTATCCTTAAAATGGTCGCCTGGTTCTGCAATGGTGGTAGTCATGGCTAGCAATGGTTACCCTGGAAGCTATAAGAAGGGAACTGTTATTAGTAATATAGAAGAAGCAGAAAAGGCTGCTCCTTCTGTCAAAGTATTTCATGCAGGAACCGCATTAGATTCTGAAGGCAATTTGGTTGCTGTCGGGGGAAGGGTTCTTGGAATTACAGCCAAGGGGGATGACCTTCAAGAGGCAAGGGATAGAGCCTATCAAGCTATTGAGAAAATTAACTGGCCGGAAGGGTTTTATCGGCAAGATATCGGCTGGAGAGCCCTCCCCCAAAAGCAATTTTCTTAGAGGTGTTAACTTGTTGACTTCCATCAGAGATTTTGGATAAATCATGAATTTTGACTCCCGCCTCGATTTGGTAGCGAACAACTACAGATCAGAGTAGTTTAGATTTCTTTCCTGTGTCAAGTCCAATGGAGATTGCGAAATTCTCCAGATGTTGTATCTTAGAATTTAGCATTATACCAATTGATCTAACGATTCCTGAACTTTGGCTGTCTTTCTTCTTTCAATTCTTGATATCTTTTGAAATGTTTCACTGCAAAAGATTTAGAGCTGTCAAAAGTTGACCCGACCCGAAATATTGACTCAAACCCGATTATTAACTGATCCATCTGAACCCGAAAAAATGGTGACCCAAACCCGACCTGAAACCAACCATAGACCCGAGTTAACCTGAGCATGTGAGACCCGAACCCGATCATGAACTAACGTAGAGATGACCTGACCCGAATGTAACCCATAAATTATTGACCTGAATCGAACCCGACTTAAAGTGAAATTGACCTAAATTCGTTTTAACCCGTCAAATCCCGAATTTAACCCGACTTGTTACTAACAAAACCTGAATTCAATCTGACCCGTACCTAACCCCTGAACTTAACCCAACCTGTTACAAATCCGACCCGAAATCAACCCGACTTGTTATTGACCCAACCTAAATTAAACCCGACTTGTTATTGACCCGACCCGAATTTTACCAGACCTATTACTTACCCGACAAAAAAATTCAACTCGATCTGTTACTAATCCGACTCGAAATCAACACAAATTGTTATTGACACGACCTAAATTCAACCCAAATCACCTTAAATGCAATTTAGACCACCTTATTATTGTTGATCAAAACATTTTGTCTAGGGAGACCAAGCCGGTCCAGGCCAGCAAAACAAAGGAGCATCATCCTCAAATGTAAGAGTTAAATATAGTATATATTTGTTGTATGGTCAATGGAGATAATTATCTTCCTAAATTATAGACTATAGTTCCCTAGTATATTGCCATATCTATTATAGTCAAAGGAAATAATTAGCTTGATAAAAATGATAATTATCTATTTATAGTTAGTTTAACCCAAATGTGACCTGACTTGGAAATGATCCAATCTGATTGTAACTTGTAAGTTATTGACTTTAACATAACCCGACTTGAATCCGAGAATGACCCAACTTGGAAATAACCCAACCTGATTAAAACCCGCAAATTATTGACTTCAACCGAACCCGACTAGAACCGAGAATGACCCGACTTGAAAATGACCCGTCCTGATTATAACCCGCAAATTATTGACTTGAACTGAACCCGACTCAAACCTGAGAACTACCCGACGTAATTCTAACCCGCAAATTATTGACGTGAACCGAACCCGAGAATTACCCTAACCCGTTTTAACAAGAATAGAACCCGACCTATTGTTCACCCGACCCGAATGTAACCCGACATGTTATAAACCTGACCTAAACCCGACATTAACCTGATAAGAAGTATGACCCGACGTGACCCGATTCAAGCATGACCCAACCCAAACCCGACTCGCATAGGTTATGGAATTAATCCGAATTGACCCGACCCGAGTTGACCTCACCCACTACTACTGACCCAAACTCGACCCGTTTACCCGGATTGACAGCTCGACCCGAAACCTCAAAAATTTCTCAAAGCGTAGATATTAGCCTTCAATTTTAGAAATTTTTTACTTTTTTCACCCGGAAATATAAGTTGCCGAAATGTTTACTACTTACTAGTGTCCCTAATACCCTTCGGGAGTCCAATTGGCTGGGTAGAACCATCCAATTTGTCTTTAAACGATCAATTTACCGGTTTATAACTTGCACCGATTTCATTAACTCAAGCCTACCACAAACATTTATGACAACAAAAAGTTATCATATATGGTTCCAAATGGCATTATATGACCTCGAGATATATCCCCTAAAATTCAAGACTTTTCGACACCGAGCCCCGAATCCTCTAAAATTTCTCAAAAAGCGTGGATATTAGCCTTCATTTTTTAAAATTTTGACTTTTTCGCTCGGAAATAAAAATTGCCGAAATGTTTACCATGCTCCCTATTACTGTCCGGGATTCCCATGGGTAGAACTATCCAATTTGCCTTTAAACGACAAATTTACAGGTTTACAACTTGCACCAATATCATAAACTCAACCCCACCACAAACATTAATGACAACAAATAATGATCATAGATGGTTCCAAACGACATTTTATGACTCCGAGATGTATCCATTAAAATTTCAAGACTTCTCGACACCGGGCTTATAAACTTCCAAAATTTCTCAAAAAGCATGGATATTAGTCTTCAATTTTGGAATTTTTTGACTTTTTTCGCCCTGAAATAAAAATTGCCGAAATGTTTACCATGATCCCTAATAACCTTCGGGAGTCCAATTGGGTGGGTAGAACCATCCAATTTGTCTTTCTACGACCAATTTATCGGTTTACAAATTGCGCCGATTTCATTAATTCTAGCTTACCACGAACATTTATGACAACAAATAATGATCATATAGGGTTCCAAACGGCATTATATGACCTCGAAATGTATCCCATAGAATTTCAAGACTTTTCGACACTGGGCCTTGAAACCTCCAAAATTTCTCAAAAAACGTAGATATTAGCCTTCAATATTGGAATTTTTTGACCTTTTTTTTGTACGAAAATATAAATTGCCGAAATGTTTACAATGTTCCCTAATACCCTATGAGAGTCCAATAGGGTGTGTGGAACCATCCAATTTACTTTTAAACGACCAATTTACCGATTTACAACTTGCACCAACCCGACTTGATTCGAAATTGACCCAAAGCCGTTTTAACCCGTCAAAACACTAATTTAACCCGACTTGTTACTAACCAGACCTGAATTCAACCCGACTGGTTCCTAACCGGACCTGAATTTAATCCAACCTGTTACAAACCCGACCCGAAATCGACCCGACTTGTTATTGACCTGATCCAAATCCAACCTGACTTGTTATTGACCCGACAAAAATTTTATAAGACCTATTAATTACCCGACCTTAAAATTCAACCCGATCTGTTACTAACTAGACTCGAAATCAACACGACTTGTAATTGACCCAACCTAAATTCAACCCAAGTCACCTTAAATGCAATTTAGACCACCTTATTATTGTTGATCAAAACATTTTGTCTCGAAAGACCAAGTCGGTCCAGGCCAACAAAAGAAAGGAGCATCATCCTCAAATTTAAGAGTTAAATATAGTATATATTTGTTGTATGGTCAAAGGAGATAATTATTTTCCCAAATTATAGACTATAGTTCCCTAGTATATTGCCATATCTATTATAGTCAAAGGAAATAATTAGCTTGATAGAAATAATAAATATCTATTTATAGTTAGTTGAACCCGAATATGACCTGACTTGAAAATGACCTGACCTGATTGTAACCTGCAAATAATTGTCTTGAACATAACCCGACTTGAATCCGAGAATGACCCGACTTGGAAATGACCCAACCTGATTATGACCCGCAAGTTATTGACTTTAACCGAACCCGACTTGAACCCAAGAATGACCCGACCTGATTATAACCCGCAAATTATTGACTTGAACCGAACCCGACTCAAACCCGAGAATTACCCGACGTGATTCTAACCCGCAAATCATTGACTTGAGTCGAACCCGACTTGAACCCGAGAATTACCCTAACCCGTTTTGACCAGAATAAAACCCGACCTATTATTCACCCGACCCGAATGTAACCCGACATGTTATAAATCTAACCTGAACCCGACTTTAACCCGATAAGAAATTTGACTCGGCGTGACCCGATTCAAGCATGACCCATCCCAAACCCAACCCGCATAGGTTATGGAATTAATCCGAATTGACCCAATCCGAGTTGACCCGACCCACTTTTATCGACTCAAACCCGACCCGTTTACCTGAATTGATAGCTTTACCCGAAACCTCCAAAATTTCTCAAAAAGCGTGGATATTAGGCTTCAATTTTAGAATTTTTTTATTTTTTTCACCCCGGAAATATAAGTTTCCGAAATGTTTACCAGGGTCCCTAATACCCTCCGGGAGTCCAATTGGCTGAGTAGAACCATTCAATTTGTCTTAAAACGACCAATTTTTCGGTTTAAAACTTGCATCGATTTAATTAATTCAAGTCTACCACGAACATTTATGACAACAAATAGTGATCATATATGGTTCCAAATGGCATTATATGACCCCGAGATGTATCCCCTAAAATTTCAAGACTTTTCGACACCGGGCCCCGAATCCTCCAAAATTTCTCAAAAAGCGTGGATATTAGCCTTCATTTTTTAAAATTTTGACTTTTTTTCGCCCGGAAATAGAAATTGCCGAAATGTTTACCATGCTTCCTAATACCGTCCGGGATTCCCATTGGGTGGCTAGAACTATCCAATTTGCCTTTAAACGACAAATTTACAGGTTTACAACTGACACCGATTTCATAAAGTCAACCCCACCATGAACATTTATGACAACAAATAATGATCATACATGGTTCCAAACGAAATTTTATTACCCCGAGATGTATCCCCTAAAATTTCAAGACTTTTCGACACCGGGCCCAAAAACCTCAAAAAATTATCAAAAAGCATGGATATTAGTCTTCAGTTTTGGAATTTTTTACTTTTTTTCGCCCAGAAATAAAAATTGCCAAAATGTTTACTAGGGTCCCTAATACCCTCCGGGAATCCAATTGGGTTATTGGAATCATCCAATTTTCCTTTAAACGGTCAATTTACCGGTTTACAACTTGCACGAATTTCATTAATTCAAGCCTAGTACGAACATTTATGACAGCATATAATGATCATTTATGTTTCCAAATGGCATTATATGACCCCAAGATATATCCCCTAAAATATCAAGACTGTACATCGGCCCCGAAACCTCCAAAATTTCTCAAAAAACGTGTATATTAGCCTTCAATTTTGATTTTTTTTAATTTTTTTCGCCCGAAAATAAAAATTGCCAAAATGTTTACCATGGTTCTTAATAACCTCCGGGATTCCAATTGGGTGGGTGGAACCATCCAATTTTTCCTTTAAACGACCAATTTACCGATTTACAAATTGCACCGATTTCATTAATTGAAGCTTACCACGAACATTTATGACAACAAATAATGATCATATATGGTTCCAAACGGCATTATATGACCCCGAGATGTATCCCATAGAATTTCAAGACTTTTCGACACTGGGCCCCGAAACCTCCAAAATTTCT